CTCGTCCTTCTCCTTCTCCTTCTCCTTCTCCTTCTCCTTCTCCTTCTCCTTCTCCTTCTCCTTCTCCTTCTCCTTCTCCTCCTTCTCCTTCTCCTCCTTCTCCTTCTCCTCCTTCTCCTTCTCCTTCTCCTTCTCCTTCTCCTTCTCTCTGACTTTTTGAAACAGTTTTGCTGTGCAGTTCAGGCTGGTTTTGAACTCATTTTGTAGCCCTGGCTGACCTTGCACTCTGAGCAATCCTCCTGCCTCAACAGAAGAGTGTGCCACTGCACCCATCTCTGCATAATTTCTTTCTTTTTTGTGGAACCGGGGATTGAACTCAGGGCCTTGAGCTTGCCAGGGAAGCGCTTATTCCACTGAGCCATCTCCCCAGCCCTTCTGCATAATTTCTTAACCTTCTTTAAAACCCCTGCTAATTGGGTACTGTTCTTGTGTGGATAAAGAAATTAAGGCTCAAAAATAATGTCTTGCGTTTACCAGCACAACTGGGAACTGGTACTGGAACTCAGCCCCAACACTGTTACCTCTTCCTTACATTGAAACCTCCAAGGTTTTCAGTAATTTTTAAGTGACATTGAGTGCTCTTATGGTGATTTATGTTTTTACAGAGGGACAGAGAAAGAATAATAAATAAATGGGGTAATAGGATTTCTACAAGCCTGTTATCTTTGTAGCTCTTACATGATCTTCGAAGTATCAAACTGTTGAAAATTTTATTTTTATAATTTACCCTTCTACCTTAGATAGCAAGTTTTAGCCTTTGAAGCTTTTTGAGAACAGTTGTAAAGTTGTGCACTTTATTCATACTGAATTGTTTTTATCAGCTGTCTTTTTAAGGTTTTCAGAAGCTCTCTGCAGAATTTGTGCTGATGAACACATGATCTTGGCTGAATAATTTTGCTTTGCTTTTTTTTTTTTTTTAATCAGGATATGCTTACTACCCCCTCCTGTCTCCAAAATTTTGTATTGAGGAGGGGCAAGATAACTTGCTTCCTGCTCCCATTGAAATGGTAACATGTAACAGCCCTGGAAAAGACAATGTAGCTTTTCTGTTTGTTACTGTATCTTTATAAGTGTACTTGGGAGAACAATTTAGAAAGGTGAACTGTATTTGTATATTTTAAAAGGAAAATGATCCTCATTTATAAACTTTCCCGTGGCCATTTCAACATACACTAGGCAAAAGACATTGAACAAATACTGATAAAAGCAGAATGTAGGGCCGGGGAGATGGCTCAGTGGAATAAGCACAAGGGCCTGAGTTCAATCCCTGGTTCTGAGAAAAAAAAAAAAAAAAGCAGAATGTATGTGATCCTTGCTTGAAGCCTTGTCATGACTGATTTTATATCTGGATTTACTCTTCAGGAGAACAGATATTTTAACTTGTTTGGTTAAAGGCATTTATTGTTTCTTTTCGATCTTAGATGTGTTAGATGTGTTATATAAAAAAAATCCTAGAGTTAACTTTTATTTTCAAGTAAATATCAGCTTTACTAGACTTTTTTTTTTTTTTTTTTTTTTTTTTTTTTTTTTAATAAGCAATCCTTTGGGGCTCAATTTGGGAACCCTTGGAAGCACACTTACTCCAGCAACTACATCTGTTACTTATGCTTTTGGAGCTGGAACTGGAGGACTCTTTGGATCTAAGCCTGCGACTGGGTTCACTCTAGGAGGAACAAATACAGGTAAAAGGAGTTTTTGATTTGGGAATGACATATACATGGTATATTTTTAGTTTCCATCCTGTATCTTCTTGTAAAAAGTTGTCAATAATAGATCTAAAAAGGGGGTAGATAGCAAGGTGAAAAGGATACAGGGAAGTAAGTAGTCATCTACTCAGATGTTAAGGCAGTCTGTGTGTGTGTGCGCGCGTGCATGCATGCCTGCCTGCCTGCTTGTCTTTCTCTCCACATGCAGTAATTGAAGATTTTTTTTTTCTTTTTTAAAAATATAATGGTATAAGGGAATTTGCTTTTTTTTTGGTATTGGGAAACAGATTCAGGACCTTGTGCTTGCCTGGCAGGTGCTTAGGCCACTGAGCTATGTCCTCAGCCCTATATGTTTATATTAAATTATGTAATACAGTGTTTTCCTATTTAAACATTGTTAAGTCAATTTTACCAACTTGGAGATTAATTAACATGATATACATACATATATACATACATACATAGAATAATCAGAACTCTCTTAGGTATTTTAAAGTTTTATATTAAAAACTATTGTTTCGGTGGAAAAAGCAAGAAATTAAGAACACAAGATTTTTAATGGACATTTAAATATTAGAAAGGGTTTTTTCTTTTAAAAAAGGAAAGGTCTTTTAATACTTAAAATAATAAATAATTCACTGGAGATAACCGTGTACATTTTGTTCTCTGCCTTTGGAGGCTCTGGACCTTTGTTGCCACCATTAGCACTGAACTTCCTTCTCCGAGTATAGCTCTTTTCACAGAAATACACAGAAAATAAGGAAGAACTAGTTAGAGTCTTGAGACAGCTGTATGCCAGTGTTCTGTTTGCTGTAGTTCTTTTCTTTGCTTAATGTTGTTACAACAATAATTCATATTTCTAAGTCTTATCCCTCTATCATTTAATTAATAAAATTATATACAGTAATAGGAAACCAAATGCTATAGAAAAAAATGCTGTGGTATGGGTTATAGTAGAAGTCATATATTGATCTTAGTAGAATCATGACTCTGAGGGTGATTCCCTTATGACAAATCAAAACAATGCCAAATCCAATGATGTTTAAATTTTCTTTTTCTTTTCTTTTTTGCTTCAGGAATAGCAACAACTATGACTACAGGATTAACTCTGGGTAAGAAACCTTTGAGGAAAGATCCCAATGTAAATGAATTGAGTGATCATTCTATTCTTTTATAATATTTCACCAAAAAGAGTGTAGAGAAAAGTGTATAAAGAATTCAGTATAGATTCCAGATATTAACTTGTCAAAAACATGTATAGTATTGATTACTTTTAAAATGCCTTTATATCATAGGCTGTTAATTGAGAGTAATGTTTTGAATGCAGAAATGGATTTTAATGTGAAAGTTTATTTCACATTACTTTTTCAGTCTTTGATGTTTTAGTTGAAAACGCATGAAATTATACTCCAGAAGTCTCACAATTAAGCATGCTGGTTGTATCTCTAAAGTAGTTGTGAAGTTTTACAATATTTAGGAGCAAAACTTTTAGTTACTTATAAAATGAAACTATTGTAACTGAATGTGTTGGCACTGTCTATAATCCTAGCACTCTGGAGGCTGAGGTAAGAGGAATGCAAGTTGCTAGGGCATCCTAGCAACTTAGTGAGACTTTGTCTCAACATGAAGTATGTAGCTCACTACAATGGTGACTCGGCCGCAGGTCGAGACGTGGGGTAATGACCTGGAGGAGGAACGGGGATGAATAAGACAGGGCAAGAGACACAAGAGACAGAGACAAGACAGGCTTTCTGATCAAGTCTTGTTTATTGAGGAAGTGAACAGGGTCTAAATAGCTGTATAGTGGAAGCAGTTGGGTGGGACTAGTTGTGGATTGGTAGTGGAAATCCAGGACCACAGGAAGATGTCGAGCAAGCTGGGATTGGTGCTGTAGCACTTCTTGCCCAAATAAGGGAAAATATAACAGGAGCTTTCTATCGCCCCCCACACAATGGCTGTGCATTCAATCCTCAGTACCACTAGAAAACACACAACAGTTTTAAGGAGGGGAGGTCAGGGAGAAGTGCTTGCCCAGCATGTGTGAAGTCATGGATTTCATTCCCAGTACTACAAAATAACAGGGATGATACTGGGCTAAGATTTTTGTTTCCCTTGCAACTCAAAAACATGTTTCTATAGTGGTTTGCTGAAAGGAATGTGAAAGAATGGAAGCATACTGAAAAAACTTTCAAATTGAGAAGGGTTTTTTTTTGGCTGGCTCAGGCTGCCTTAAGGGTGGGTTTGGTAAGGCATGTGAAAAACTTTAAAATTGAGATTAAATTAAATCAGCAAAAAACAACACTTGTTACCACCACCAAAGGTTTAGACAGGATTGGTTATAACTGAGTCTTGTTTTCTGAAGTTACTGGACCTCTCTGTGCAGCTTTGGAAGGATTGTGCTGCAGCAGGAATGTCCAGTTGTGATTAGGATAATCTAGAATTTAGCTCCTGACTGCTTCTCTCTCAGTGATCTCAGAAGAAACTCCAGTGGAGAACATCCATGCCCTTTTGTTTTGATTCGGGTTTTGTTGTTTTTTTTTTTTGTTTTTCCAGGGATTGAATTTTTTTTTTTTTTTTTTTTTTGGACAGGGTCTCACTCTGGAAATTAGATAGATCTTGCACTTATTGTGTAGTTCAGCCTGGCCTTGGCTTCATGGCAGTGCTCTTCCCTTAGCCTCCTGAGTGTTGGGATTACAGACCTGCGCCTGACTTGTTCATACTTTTAAATTTAGTATTGTTCAAGCAGTTACTACTTCCTAACTGTGTGGTTATAAGCTTATGTAATGCCTTGAACATTCACTATTGGGCTTGTATTTGCAGTGGTACTAATGATGATGATGATGTCACAAACTGTTAAGTACGTAGGCAAGATATTTGTCTATTGCAAGGTGAAGACAGACAGGAATATTAACATTATTAGGCAATCTGATAAATGATATTAACAGGTATCAGAAAAATACTAAAGGCAAAGGAGAGAACAAGTTTATTTTGGAGTGATAGGATTCATTCCAGAGTTGTAGAAAGTACAAAAGCCTAATCACAAAAGTATCCAGGGGATTATGTAAAATATTTCTTCGTAGAGCTTAAGATTCAGAGATGGAAATGATTAGTAAGATTTGAGGATAGGTTGGGACTGGACAGGAAGGGAGAATTATGTACCTGGTGTTCAGACTATTACAGTGGCAGTCTAAGGCCAAGGGAACTTTATCTTGAGCAGAACTACCAAGATGTTATTGTTGTTTTTAAGGTAATAAGATAATTCCAAGATAGAGGTTGGGTGAAACTGGCAGAGAACCTGAGAGACTGTTTTAATAGTTCTTGAGAGACACCCAAACGAAGGTTTTTGAGAATTTTTGAAATCCAGGATGTTTCAGAAGTAGAAGTGACAGGATTTGTAACTGATGGAATGCAGAGAAATAAATATGAAGGTTCTGGTTTCTTTATTTGAGCAGTGGAATGGACCAAAATGGAGGCTTTAGCAAAGTTGGACTTTTTCTTTTTCTTTCTTTTTTTTTTCTTTCTTTTTTTTTTGGTGGTACCGGGGATTGAACTCAGGACCATGTGCTTGCCAGGCAAGTGCTTATTCTGCTGAGCTATCTCCCCAGCCTGGGCTTTTTTTCTTGACTGTTGTTGTATTTTTGTTTATTTTTTGGTGAGATAGGTTGGAGTCCTAAGGGATATCAAGGTAGAATCAGCCCACAGAGATTCAGGTAGATATAGATTGAGATTCCGGTACTTGTAGTTGGATGATGAAAGTTGGTAAAATCACTAGAAAAGTAAGGGAGCAGGAATAAAACCAAGGGAGTTTCATTTAAGGTAAAATTAACAGAGGACAAAGACCTTCAAATAAGGACTGGAAATGAGTAATAGGAGTAGGAAGCAAACTGAGAGCTGGCAGGCAGAGTAGCCAGAGAACAGAATATTGCCAGAATTAGAGAATGGCTATGTACATAGTTTTGGAGAAGAGGGACAGTTGTTCTACTGAGTAAAGGGAAGGAGAAAGAAAAAGAAATTATTAGGTAAATTTAGGATTCAATTTGATCAGAATGTTATATTGATTGGGATTATTTTTGTTTTGTTAACCCAAAGAATCATCTTTTTTTTCTTTTGTGTGTGTGTGAGGGGTGCCAAAAATCGAACTCAGGACCTCATGCTTGCCAGGCAGCTGTGGCAGCAGTGAGCTAAAACCCTTGAAAGAACCTCGTTCTCTGTATTTGCCATAATTTAGTCCCAAGTTTTATATTTTTTTCTCTCACATGTATGCATCCTTTTCTTATCAGAAAGAATCAAATGGAGCCGGCAAGAGAGCTCAGCAGTCTAAAGCACCTACTTAGACAAGTTTAGGAACTGCAGTTCAATTCCCAGCACCACATGCCAATCCAGCCCCACTACTAGGGTAGGCTGAGCTGGCCACAAAAAAAAAAAAAAAATCAAACTTTCAGGGATTCTGATGGAAACCTATATGTATGTATGTATATGTATATATGTATGTACACAGACACGTATATATCTCATATGTAAGCTTATGGTAAAATGAGATTTTGTTTTTTAAAACAGGAACGCCAACTACTACATCTGCATCCACAACAGGCTTCAGTTTAGGATTCAATAAACCAGCAGCATCTGCTACACCATTTGCTCTGCCTATTACTTCTACCTCAGCTAGTGGTCTCAGTCTTTCATCTGCTCTGATATCTACTCCAGCAGGTGAGACAAAATCGGAGAAGGTTGTGTTTCATGGTTAAATTTAAATTTCATTCAGAGAACTTAGTTTACATCTTTATTAAACATATATATCGGCACTTTGAGAAGCATTTATTCTAATCAATCAGCAATTTTGACTTACTAGTTTATTTGAAAGAAGAAAAGTTGACATTGGCCATTGTAGCAGTAAAGCTGATCTTGGAAATTGATCTCATATATTATCGTATATAGTAATCATAAGTGATTGTTTTAAAATACAGATGTCTAATGCTTTCATTATATATGATTAGGCAAATACTAAAATTAGTTCACAGGGCACAGGGTTAGATAAGTAAAATGTAAAGTTGTTAACAATTAATAGCTTTGTCTTCAAAGAGCCATTTCATACCAAGGATAAAGGCTCTGTGTGTATTAAGACTGAAAATCTTACTTGGCTTAAGATTTATTTAATTTTAAAGATGGACTTGGTACCTGGGTTATAAACTCTATTGCTATGTTGAGTCAGTTTCCTGGTGCTTGTTTAATTCTATTCCGAGGCCTTCTGTCATATCTGCTTGATGTTACCGTCTGTATTCTTAAGTATACGTAATTTTATCTTTGGCAACCAATTTTTACAAAGTCAATTTTTTTTTTTTTTTTTTTTGCGGAACCAGGGATTGAACTCAGGCCCTTGCGCTTGCCAGGGATCAAAGTCAATTTTGACATAACTATTAATTCTTTAAAATTTTGCTTGTATTTTTCTATGATGTGTTGCCTTTTTATAGTTTATGGTCTTATTTTTTTAATAGCGTCTACAGGCTTTACCCTGAATAATTTGGGAGGAACCACATCTACGACTACAGCTGCGTCTACAGGCCTTTCCTTAGGGGGAACCCTAGCTGGTTTGGGAGGTTCACTTTTCCAGAGTACAAACACAGCAACATCAGGTAATTGCTAGTATTTTTCTCCAAGATAGTACTTGTATTTAAGTTTCCTTCGTCTATATTATGGTGTTTTGAGGTAGTCTTTTTAATACTGTATGTTTTTCTTTTAGTGTAAAAATTGAATCATACAATAATTTTTTTCATATATAATTAGATATCTTAGCCATGTTTAAGAAATATATTCTCCATTTTCTCATTGTTGACTAAGTAGGAAATAAGCCTATTTAAGGAATTAGAAAACTGTTCCAGAGACACTTGTCTTTTTTAGTTAAATAGTCTTGGAGAAGGTTGAAATATAGCTTAGTTGCGAAGTACTTGCCTAATATTCATGAGTTCCTGTGTTCAATCCTCAGCAGTAGGGTGAAAAAAAATCTTTATTGTTTACAGCCTAACATCACTATAAGGCAACTTAAATCCCCAAGTCTAGGATTGCCTTTTCATTATAGAAGTCAAGAAGGGGTACCAACATGCTTTTGAAGACTATATTTTAAAATACAGATAGATGTCTGATGCTTTCATTATGTATGATTAGGCAAATACTAAAATTAGTTCACAGGGCAGAGTATACTGAATATATAAAATCCCAGGTTGATTTCTCATTTGATATGTATTATGATATTTGTGACATTTTAAGGATTTTATATATGTTTTGATTGTTATATCTAGTGCCAGAATAAGAAAATCATATTTTGAAAGCAATGGGTACTTTGTGGGAGTGAGAAAAGCTTTCCTGTTACTTGCAGAATTACATAACTACCTCATATAGCAGTGTAAAATCAAAATGTGTTGTTTAACAGCTTAGGAAAAGTTGATGTGATTACAGAATTTCCAATATTTATGTGAATTTATGTTAATTTACTTTCAGAGTTTTTGTGGAGCACATAATATACATCTAATACTTCAGTTGTGCAGGAGAGGTGAAGAAATGTGACTTGATGTTTTCTATAAAAGAAGTTATAGTTCAGTTCCTTGTTTTGTTTTTTTATTCAGATGATAATTTGATCGAAAAATTCTGTGTCAGCAGAAGGGTTAGAAGATATGGGACTGGGCATGGTGCCACACACCTGTAATCCCAGTGCCTAGGAAGCTGAGGCAGGAGAATTGTTGCAAGTTTGAGATCAGTCTGGGCTACAAGTAAGCTAGGCTGAACTGCATCATGAGACTCTGTCTTAAAAAGACCCCCCCAAAAAAGCATGCACCTGGATAGCCTGTAGGAATTTGTAGTATTCAAATTTGCATTAATCTAGAAATACTAATTTTTGTCATTGTTGACAAATATAGGTACTCAAGATACTTTGTACTAGCCAAGTCATGAAATGACTATACTGTACATTTGTTTTCAGGATAAATATTAAGTATTTCATAAATGTACAGAAGCAAAATGAAAAGTAATAGAAAAGTGAGGCAGAGCATCATTTTGTCTTTTTCCTGAGTTTTGAAGTATACTTGAATCTCTCTGTACCCCCCGACCCTATCTCTGTCTCTCTCATTTGCTACCAGGAATTGAACTCAGGACCTTGTACTTGTCAAGCAGGTGCTGTGCCAGTGAGCTGTATCCCCAGCCCTTGGATTCTTCTTAGACTCAAGACATAACACTCAGTATTTATTTTGTGCTTACATTAATGTAGAGGTACCAATGAATTTTTTTAAAGCTTTGTAATTTGAGTATTCCTTTCCCTAAATGCTTAGAACCAATAAGTATTTCATGATTTTTTGAACCAATTTTGGAATATTTATGTAGACTTTGAGCATCAACATAAAATGCTCAGAAGATTGCAGACTTTGAAGCATTTCAAGTTGTGAGATTTTTAATTAGGGAGGCTAAACTGGTATAGTAGTAGTAGTTATTTGTGTTTCTCTCACATTTTCAGAATTTAAATACAGTTTTTAATTATTTCATGCTATCATTAGTGTTTCTTCTGCTTTAAAATAGGTAACATCATTATAAAGTATTAACTTGGTTACTTTACACTCGTTGCTGGAACAAAATACCCAACACCCAAAATTAAAGAAGGAAAGGTTTATTTAGCTCACAGTTGTGGAGATTTCAGTCCATACTCAGCTGACTAATGCAGAGTGACATATGGCAGAAGGCAGCTATTGATGGTGACAGAAAATAGCAAAGAGAGGAGCAGCTGTGGCAGGTAGCAAGCCTCTCTCCATCCTTATATTTTATTCATGCTATCTGTCCCAGGGTGGCTGTAGCACTCACACCCATACGAGCACTGGATCATGAATTAATCGCAAACTCTAGAAGCTGTCCCATTGACTACATGGGGCTTTCGGGAGACAACTAGACACAAAGCATAACATTCTGCCTCTGGCCCCACAAAGAGTCAATACACATCTCCTTTCTAAGAGTTTCCGAAGTCCTCAGTTTCAGCATTGCTGAACAGTCTTAAGTCCCAAGTCTCCTCAAAGATCTAAGGCAAACTCTGAGGTATGAGCCCATGTATAGATGAAAAGTTAAACTTTTCATCATTCAACTTCCATCATTCAGTGGCACAAGAAAAAAATTACCATTCCAAAAGTTACAAACAAGGGAATACAAAGCATTGGGACAAAGCAAGTCCAAAATCCAGAGGGCAGACATTAAATCCTATAGTTCCATGTGGGACATCTGAAGCAGTCTGTAGCAAATTTTGTGCTCCATGTGGCACATGTGGTTGTAGCTCCCATGACTTCTTTCTTAGGCTGGCTTTGCTCCCTCCTTGCAGCTTTCCTTAGGTGATCCATGTTTCTGGCTTCTCCAAACTTCTGCGGTTTCCACTGCACGTTTGGCTTCTCTTTGCTTTACACGCTGCCCTCTTGGGCACAGTGCGTGGCCTCCCAGGCCTTCTGAAATCAGGTGGAAGCCTTCGTAACCTCAGAACTCTTGCATTCTGTGTATACCTAAAACCAGTGCCACATGGGTGATATCAAGGTCTGTTGCCAGCTGGAGAAATAGCCAGGCTTTCTTCTCTCTTGGCTGTAGGGCTTGAGTACCTGGATCACTGATCACTCTGACCTGATTCTGAGGAACAAATTGTCTATAATGCCACCATTCTGGAACCTGGCGCTCTGCGGCTTCCTCCTCACAGCTGTCTTTCACTTTTGTAGTTTTGATAGTTTTGAGGCTGCAGAGGGTGGAGACGTGGCTACTTGTGATGCTCTCAGGTTATCTTTTCTATTCTTTTGTTTCTTCTCAACAATGGAGATCCTCTTAGCTCTTTCCTTTCAGTCTACAGCTTTATTGGTGCTTCCTTTCTGGCCAAACTCAACGTTTCATATCATCTTGCTGGATTCATTGTTTTTGATTCTCAAGATAAATACAACTAAGAGCCCCTGATAATAGCCATGCCACTGCCTGAACAATCAACTAGTTTGAAATTTCTTTTGCAAAATTAATTAATCCATGGTGCTTAATCTCAGTCTCAGGCAAAATCTCTGGACGTGAGCAAAATGCAGACAAATTTTCTGCCAAGCCATAATACACATCATCTGTAGTCCAACAACCAATGCAGTCCTTCCTCCCAGCAGAAATCACCCCAGCTTGGTCTTTACGGACAGGCTTTCTATCAGCCTTCTGGTCTTCTGAGCTCTGACCAGAATCTTCCATACAGAACAGCCAAAGGTGTTCCAGTGCTCCTCTTTCAGGCAACATCTCCAAGCCTTTCCTATCTCTTCCCATAAGCCATTCCCAAAGGCTTGTAATCCACGTGGTCAGGTATAGATATTTAGAGAAATACATATTTATCAGTGCAAGCTCTTTGAAGTTTATACATTAATGACAACATTAATTATAGTCCCTGTGATTTTTTTTTGTTTGTTTGTTTTGTTTACCATTGAAGTGAGAATGAAATAGGTAAAAAATGAAAAATTTTGTTTCTTTTTTAACAAAATTTTTTGGAAAGAACTTGGGTGTATTTACTTGTACTTAATATGTTATCCTTAAATCTTATACATTCATACTACATTATTTTAAATATGAAGTTCCCAGGTATGATTAGATGGTAATAGGTAAATGTATCAACTGACACTACTTTTATAGAAAAGGTTTAAAAATAACAAATGTTGAATATCCCCATTTATCAAATTAATAAATACATTCTGACTCTTTTAATAAACATCACATCATCCATTATATGTATTACCATTGAATCTAAGCTTGATTATCTTTTCCAAAGCATTCACCAGACTTATCTCTTACTTGCCTAAATCAAGTTTAAACAAATTGTGGGACCTAACATAAAAATATTTGAGTGCTCTATTCAGTTGGGAAAATTGTTAATAAGTCTTTCAGTCAAATTGGTAAATGATGGTTCGGTATATATTTGCAGGACTTGGACAGAATGCTTTAGGTTTGACTTTGGGATCTACAGTAGCCTCTTCAACTACAGGCAATGAAGGGCTTGGTGGCATAGATTTTAGTAGCTCATCAGATAAAAAGAGTAAGTATATTATTATTGTATCTTCTAACAGCAATATTAGGAAATTTCTAAGTTACTCAGAATTTCTGTCTGAAAGACCACTAGTATATATTCAGTAGGACACTTCACTTTAAAGTTTTTTTAAATTATTTCATAGATTGTGTTGAGGATTTAAAGTTTAACTTTTATAGATAACTTAGATATGTGTAAGTCTTATATAGCTACCTTGATGTATATATTATGTATTTTTAAATTAGGGTAATGATACATGTATTTTATAATCCATTCTTAACTCTTGTACGTATCAGAAGCATTTGTCAGTGTAAGTTATGTGCTTATTTCATTTGTTTTTCTTTGGAGAGGAGTGAAAGAAATCTGAGGAATTATTTTCCCTTTTCCTTTGCCCCTTTTCCCATCATCCTGCTTTCACGGTGTGCATAAACTGGAGTTGAGCCAAAAGAATACAATGTACGTGTACCATATCCCATGTCCTTTTAAACTCTTAGGTCTGACAAAGGAGTCTTTTTTATAATCTCCAGAGGATCTCTTTTTTCCTACTAACTTACTAGTTAACTTTGGACCTGTGGTATCAATGTGACTTAACCAGATAGAGTAGAAAGTAGATAGAAAATAGCCAGCTAGAAAATGACATTTTGGGGGCTGGGGAGATAGCTTGGTAGAATAAGCTCTTGTGCAAGGGCCTGGGTTCAAACCCCGGTTCCACAAAAAAAAAAAAAAAAAAAAAGAAAGAAAATAACATTTAGTAGAACATAGCATAGAGTAAGGCCTAGGGATAAGAAGGACTGGACACTTATTGAAGAACTAGTAGGCTAGTCTAGCTAATGCAGAAAGATTAGGCTCCAAGGGTCACAGAGGACTTTATATAACATACTGAGTATTGTCATTGTACTGAGGAGAGCTGCATCTATTAAAGGATTTTGATGAGATTCTTATTTTAAAATTAAGAGCACTGTGACAGCCATCTGGAAAGTACATTAATTGAAGAGGGCAAGAATGTGCAAGGAGAACCCATAGATAAAGATTTTGTAATAATCCATATAAATTACTAAGGTAAAGCCAGGCAGATAAATCCAACAATCTATAGCAGTCTAGAAGTGGGTCCAAGTTACACATATTTATACATAAATACACAGTGTAGAGATGAATTATCAAGGAGATAGAGCATTAGTTTAAAAATTAATGATTTGAAGGGTTGGCCATATAGCTCAGTGGACTAAAGTGCCGGCTTAGACAAGTGCAGGGACCGGGTTTTTGGTTTTGTTTTTTTATTTAGAAACAATACAGAAGTTTATTAAACAAAATAATAGGAATTCGACAATGGTTATATTGCATAATGTTCTTTTCAAATTGTTTAGATTATCAGATATGCAAGATTGGTTTCACAGAAGTCATAAGAAATTAAAAAGGAGAAGAAAAACATTAAGCATTATTTACTCCTTTCAATAGACTAGTAGAAATTGGCACTATACAAGCTATCCTGTGTATATACATAAATATAACTTTTTTTCCCCCAGTTATTCCCTTTTTTAAAAAAATAATTTTATTGAGAAACAAATATCAATGAGAGTTTCACAACCGATTACTGGCACACTTTCTTTGTTTAAAAAAATTATTTATTTATTTATTTATTTAGTGTGTGTGTGGCCAGCTCAGCCGACCAGGGGGCGGGGCTGGCTGGCATGTGGTGCTGGGGGATTGAACCACGGTCCCTGTGCTTTGCTTAGCTTAGCTTGTTCTAAGTAGGTGCTTTAGACCACTGAGCCATCTCACCAGCCCTACTGGCACACTTTCAATAATTAACATGTTGCATATCGTTGTCTTAGTGATTATTCATTGTACAAGATGCAGACATGATATCCTGTCTCAAACACTATTATAACAATCCTCTCTATTCATTGAATTAAGAGAATGGAGCTGTATATCTATCCTATTTTGAGTATGCAGATATAAAAGGGTCGTTCATTTCTATCCCACTTTTTTGGTTAGTTTTGTCAGAGGAGGGCATTCCACTGTCATTTGAATATTGTAGGTGCTTGAATTCAGCAGAATCTCCCAATATAGTCCATTAGTACGTCATAGTAGTGGATTTTCTGTAAGACTGGCAATGTCCAAAGTTGTTGACTTGAGCCTTTTACAGCTCAGCATATTAATGTGGCTTTACTTTTTATACATTGTTTTTATACTTTTCTGCTGGATAGTTAAGACCAAGATAAAGCAAGACCTATATAACAAGACATGTGACTTTTGTATCTGATAAGGTTAGTCAAATCCCCTCAGGATTTAACCTGAAGCCCTATATCGCAGTTTGTAGATCCTTTGTGAGTGTCAGCCATGTGGATGAGTCACAGCCATTGCTTAACCAATTTGCTCTCTCTGAAAGCCTGAGAGAATGTTTTCTCTCCATGTAACTCTTCTTAGACACACTGTACATCATCGATCACAGTCCTCTGTTGCCCCATAATCTCCTTGATCAGGAAATTCGGGACACAACTGAGTTACATAATGTTACAGTATAGGTTCTCCTATGGGACTGTGGTTTGATACCCATCATGTTTTGCCAACTCTGTCCCTGGGTCATGCTGAGACAGTGGTTGAGATTGGGTATGATGGCATGTGCCTGTAATCTCACCACTTGGGAGGCTGAAAACAGGAGGATCAGTACGAGTCCAGTCTTTGTAGTGAGATCCTGTAGACCGTGTACTAAAATACATTAAAAAAAAAAAAAAAAATTAATGATTTGACAGCAAAGAAATAACAAAACTGAATGTTGAACTTGTGAACAAATGAACTTAGTAGATGTTTTCTAAAATAGACCATATACTAGCTGACAGAACATGGTTGAGTAAATGCAAAGGAATTAAAATTATCCCATGCATACTACCTGAGCACAGGGTAATGAAATTAGATAATAATGGCAAAAACTCCTAAACACATGGAAATTAAATAATACCCTCCTAAACAACAAATGGGTCACAGATGAAGTAAGCAAAGAGATTAAACAATATCTATGACTAAATGATAGTACAGATACATTATCTTTTATAGATGGGGTGTAATGAAAGCAGTCCCCAGAGGGAAATTTATAGCATTGAATTATAACCTCAAGAAAACAGAACAAACACAAATAAATAACCTGATGTTATACCTCAAGCTTCTGAAAGAAGAGTAAGACAGATCCAAAGCCCATAGAAGGGAGGAAATTAATAAAGATCAGAACAGAAATTAACACAATGGAGAGCAAGAAAACAGTACAAAGGATTAATAAGTTGAGTTGGTTCTTTGAAAAAATAAGATTGATCGAAACTTAGCCAGCCATAGTAGAAAAAGAAACTCAAATTCATGCATTGAAGAATAAGGGTGAAGTCCCTACAGATAGTATGAAAATTCAGATAATCAGTAGCTACTTCAAAAATTTTTATTCTAGGCCAAGGAGATGGCTCAGTAGAATAAGCACTTCCTGGGAAAGCACAAGGGCCTAAATTCAATCCCCGGTTCCCCCAAAAAAAAAACCCAAAAATTTTTATTCTGATAGGATGGATAGAAAACAGAAGAAATGGACAGATTCCTTAATATGTATGAATTACCAAAGCTGAGTCAAAATGTAAGAAATTTTTACATTTTATTGAATATAAAAATTCAATAACTCATATTGAATAACTCAATATCAGTTAATGAGATTTAAAATGTAATTAAAAACTTATCAACAAAGAGAAGCCCAGGTCCTGACAGGTTTACTGCTGCAGTCTACATGAAATTTAGATTTCATGCAAATACTCCTGAAACTCTTTAATTAGATTGAAAGGGAGGGACCAGGGATATAGCATAGTGGCATAGTTTCTCTGTGGCATGGATGAGTTTATGAGTTTCATTCTTGGGTTTTTTTTTTTAATATATATGAAAAAAAAAAATATATATATATATATATGTATATATGTATGTATTGAAAAGGAAGGCTTGGGGAGATACCTTGGTGATCTAAGTGCCTGCCTGGCAAGTGCAAGAACCCAGGCTCTATCCCTGGTAATGCGTGCTATGCTGGCCATGGAGCCCTAGGCATGCTGTGCCAGCCACCAAAACCAGATTCTGTGGCACACGCTTATTATCCCAGTGCTGGGAAGGCTGAGACAGGAGGACCACTATGAGTCCAAGCAAGAACCCTGTACCAAATAAATAATTTAAGAAAAAAAATTGAAAGGGAAGCATTGCTTCCTAACTCATTCTTGGAGGCAAATATTAACCAAATACCAAACAAGAGAAAGACCCAACCATAAGAGAACTACAGGCCAGTTCCTTAATGAGTATAGATGCAAAAATCCTCAATAAAATACTAGCAAACAGAGTGCAGCAAGTTATCCAGAAGATTATACACCATGACCCAAGTGAAATTCATCCCAGGAATACAGGAATGGTTCGACATATACAAATCAATAAATGTAATATAGCATATCAACAAAGCCAGAGACAAAAATCACATGATCATTTCAATAGAGGCAGGGGGCCGGGGAGATGGCTCAGTAGAATAACTGCTTACCTGGCAAGTGCAAGGGCCTGAGTTTAATCCCCGGTTCTGTGAAGAAGAAAAAAAAAAAAAAAAAAATTCAATAGAGGCAGAAAACCCTCTTGATAAAGCCCAGCACTCATTCATGATAACTCTATGGAAAATTGGAATAGATGGTCTTTTATCAATCTTGTAAAAGCTATTTATGCCAAGCCAATAGCCAACATCGTACTAAATAGACAAAAACAGAAAGTTTTCACTCTAAAATCAGGAACAAAACAAGGATGTCCACTATTACCATTCCTATTTAATACAGTTTTGAAATCATTAGCCAATGCAATTAAACAAGAGAGAGAAATAAAAAGAATAATAATAGGAAAAGATATGAAATTTATTATTATTTGCAGAGGCATGATAGTCTACATAGAAGACCCCAAAACTCCAACAAAACACTCCTAGACTTAATAAGCAAATGAATTGCATGGCTGGATACAAATTCAGTACTCAAAAATCAGTAACATTCTTTTACACACAGAGAAATTAGACATTTCACAATAGTATACCAAAATTGAAATGCTTATGAGCCCATCTAACAAAGTAAATAAAAGATCTATAAATTAAAAAGTTACAATACTCTGTAAAAGAAGATTAAAGATATCAGAAAATAGAAAGATCCTTGCTCATGGATAGGGAAAAACAATATTGTGAAAATGGCCATACTCCCACAATTGTTACATAGATTTAATGCAGTCTTGATCAAAATACCATTAGCATACCTCACAGAACTAGAGAAAACATTCCTCAAATTCATTTGGAACCAGGAGAGACCTAGAATAAATAGCAAAAGCAATGCTGGACAACAAAGGCAAAGGCAAGGCAGGAGACATCAAAATCTCTTACTTGAAGTTATACTACAAAGCTAATGTGATAAAATCAGCATGGTAATGGCAGAAAAAACAGACCTGAGTATCAGTGAACACCAATGGAACAGATTAGAAGTTGCAGACACAATTACAAAAATACTCAGCCACCTTATCTTTGACAAAGGGGCCAAACATAATTACTAGAAGAAAGCCTTTTAGATAAATAGTGCTGAAAAAATTGGCTCTCTACATTCCAAAGACTAAAACTAGACACATATATATCACTATGCACTAAACTAAAGCCGAAGTGGGTCAATGATCGAAATATTAAAACAGAAACACTAAATCTACTAGAAGAAAAAGTAGAAAGCATGATGACATAGGGGTAAGCATAGAGTTCATGAGCAAAAACCAAACTGCATGGGAAACACTTCCAAGAATCAATAACTGGGATCTCATCCTGTTAGAAAGCTT